ATTCCTGCTACACTTACAGATTTCAGGTGAGATTTCCCACTGAGACACTGAGCAAGACAAGTCCATCTAGGTTATGAGATCATCCCCAGATGCTCTCATAGGGAGCACATGAAAGTGTTATTAAGCAGGGATTATTTTGGCTTCTTCTGTGCATGCACAGGAAAGTCATGAACTAAGTGTATGTGGAATGTCTGCTTCATGGAGCAAGAAGCTCTGCCAGCTTTTCAGCACTTATTTTCTCTCCCAAATGCAACATTTTACAAGTGGAATGCTGAAAAGCGATGGATGTTTTCCACTCTGTTGTCCTCTTCACCTGTTCCAGATGGCAAAGAGGACAATGCAGATATTTGCAAACTGAACGTAGCTTTCATTTCTGTCAACACTGGGTCAGCCTCAGTGACTGTTGACGTGGTCACATTTTTGGAACAGATCACTGGAAAATGTTCCACTACGAATACTACAAGTGTGTGGTTGCCAAAAGGCATGTTAACAAGGTAGCACTGCCAACAACAGGCAAATCCTGTAAAGCCAGACTAGCTGTTTTAAGGATACAATGGGATATCCTTCTGGGTGGCATTGGATCTACAAAAAGGCATTCTCCAGCTGAAATTTACCTGGATAAAATCTGTGTTCCTCTTACCCCTGCACCAGGTGCAAAAGAGAAAAAAGGTAACTGCAGGGGCAGGCATTTGTGACATTTGCTGCTGTCTTTCAAGGAAATGGATAAATTGTGAGTTGACAGCATAATGCAAATGGAGAAAGAATGAAGGTCAGAGATCTAGCTGCAGAGGTAGTAGAAACTACATAAAGAACGAGGGGATGATTGGACCAGAGATGACTGGAAGTTCCTTCATTGCACACGTCTTTAACAGAAAATGTCCATTTGCAGGAAAGGTTTACTTCAAAAGAGGTTGGATTGTGAAGACTGTTTGAGACTGGTCATCAGATTTTAATGATGGAGACATTTAATACATAGGAACATTGATATGTATTCCTTGTTATTGGTACTAGTTAGCTTGAGAGGAGATATTTTTCCTGAAAGTATTTTCTGTTTTAAGCAGTATTGAAGTCAGAAAATTCCTCTCACTGGAGTTGTAGAGATCTCTCAACACAACCATGGTGGTCCTTTTTTGTTTTGGACTCTCTGATTAGGTATTAGCCCAGGGCAGCGTTGTGCATACTGACTCTGAGTCCAATACTTTTTTCTAGTCATGACCTAGAATCTTATATCTCTACGTGAGTTTTCTCAGTTTTGGGCAATTGACTTGTCTGGAATTTTAAAACTCTTTTTTTTTGGTGGGAAAAAAAAAGATAGGCTCTAGTTTCTTCACAAGGTAAATCTCCCCAGTCTTGTAGTGTCAAAAACTTCTGTAGGGTGGGAAATCTGTATAAATGTGGCTGTACTCGGTCAAACCCAAGGTGCTAAATCCGTCCTATACCTTTTAAGTCCCCTTGTTGGCCTTCTCTGAGCCTTCTCCAGTGCTGCTGTATCTTTTCAATGCTGAGGCCAATCAGTTTTGTACCTGCTCTCTTTTTAGATGGCTGTGTACAGCTTTTAATCTCTTTATTGCATAGGAAAATGTGTCTCATATCACATAAGAAAATGAGCTCCAGATCACTCTGGAAGTAGGAACATCCTCTGTCCAGCAGCAAAAAGTTATCACATCATATGAAGAGCTCCTTGCTTTGATATAAAGACAAGACCTGAGGGTCCCATTGAAGCCCTGTAGGTGGTCTGTTCCAGAGTTCTGTGTCAAACAACTTAACATAATGTGGCTTTCCTTTTTTTTGAGGACTGTTCAACCTGATCTGCGCTGTTTGAACATTTTCCCACTCACTTAACTGTGTTCAGTGCCATAGCCATGCTCCCAAACAGAGCTTCTCAAAATGGATAGGACAGTTTTCTCTACACTTTTTCAGTTTTCACACTCTTCTTGTTCTTGTGGCATGGCACCTTTCTCTCCAGCTCAGCATATGTAATGGCCTGAACCTGCCATGCGTACCTTGCACATGATTATTTGGAAAACTATATACATAACTCAGCAGTGGAAGGAAAAGGGAACAGCAACAATCTGTTTTCTGTTCTTTTTGTGCTGTTGCTACTGAAAATGCATCTCTGTGCATTGAGGACTGAGTTGCAGAGTCCAAAGTGAAAACCTACTCATGATGTTGCCACATTAAATGTCATATAGGAACACACAAAGTGAGAGCAGTTTTGTTTCCTGTTTATTGTTTCAGCAATCAAGGATCCTGCACTCAATATAAATACACCTTCAGTCTTTGTATGCTGTTGCAGCAACTTTCCTTATAGCATTTACTGATGCATATCTGATGTGTGCAATAGAGGCAGAGGCTGAGTACAGCACAAGCAAGCCCTGACCCCCATTCCATTCCCTGTCAGCACCTCCAGAAGCCTATTCATAACCTGATTTCTCTGCCATTTCTAGATTTCAGGTAGATTAGCAGTAGTGGTCATGGTGGTACTGTTAGTATTATTCTTAGCATTATTGCACAGATGGTCCATACCCATGTATTCCTCTGACTGTAATGAACTGCTTGCAGTAAGGATATATCTTTACTGACTGAGACACAGTGTTGCTAGTATGGTGTCACTCGATCATTTTTAGTGTTTGTATTCTGATCATCAGTCTAGCCAGGGTCCCTCACTGTGACATACAGCTTTCAGGCTGTGAATCTGTGGTGAGACATTGTCCCTGTGTCATAGTTCTTCACAGAGCATGGCTCCAGGACTCTTTAGCCCACTGAGTCTGTCTGTCCATCTGAGAGAACAGAATTTTAATTCTAGCCCTTTCAGATGTATTTGCTAATCCCACTGCAGAACTGAACGTATAACGAGATATTTAGAATTTCCTCCCTAAATCCAAATTATATCTTCTTTCTCTTTCACTCACCTTCTCAATTGTAATTTTTTAATTTTTTAATTTTCTTTGGTCTGCACAGTTCCTCTTACCCATAGTCCTAGCTTGTAAGAGTGGTAAGCAACTCATTATACCTACTGACTGCAGGAATCCAAGAAATGACTGAAGGTCTCTGCTTTGCATAGCTTAGAAATAGCAGTGGTAGTAGCAGCAGTAGCATGTAATTAATGTGCTGGAAATCTGGAGAGGACAGAGAAATCAGTATGTGCATGCAACCACTATAGAAAGAGGAGTGCTGGTGTGAGTCGAAAGGCATGTGCAGGCTTTGCTACCATTTTTTAATATACTTGTCAGATAAGGGAGGGTAAGTGAAAGCTGTGTTTAGAGCTTTCACATCACTTTGTGCCTCTTATAATTTGTACTCTATTGCTTAGTGCCTTGCAAATGTGATAAATGAAGGTCATGAATGCACATGAGGCTGTGAATTATTTCTTGGTGGAGACCAACAAGGATCAGGACTAATTTCTCTGCTAGAGTCAGACAGTAAGAGCTATTCAAACCAAACCAGACAAACAAATAAGCAAAGAAACATGGGATGGAGCTATGCAGTGAGCTTGTGTCCCTTAATTTACATACCCTTGCTTTGAAACATTGGCTGAGGCACTTAAGCCATCCCGAGCACCATTTGTCAGACACATTTATACCAACCAGAAAGAAACCTAGAGGAATCAGTGAGATTTTGCGAGTTAAGTTTCTATCAAACTGGTCAGCTGCACATCTGTCCCCTGCAGATGTGACAATTACAATGAGGATTTATGAAGGTATTTTTTCTGATTTCTCTCTCCCTGTTTGTGCTGCTCCCTCTCCCACTCTGACAGGTGGGAGAACAGGCGTCAGAATGGAAACATTTAAGGAATGAGTGTAAGTAAAAGTTCCTGTATACACCTGTGAGCTCTGAATTATTTACATTCAACTCTCATTTAGAGCTTAATGGCCACTTTCATGGCACCACATCTCAGAAATATTAAAATACTATGACAACATCCCTGTAAAGTAATATGGCAGGAAATGAGTTTTGGAGGCTCTTTGTTTTCCACCAAGAAAATACCAGTAGCTGTTTAAAGATTCTGGAGATCTAAAGAAAGTTTGCCTCTGTTAGTAAATCCTGTGCAGTTTCTTTATGGAAATTACCAGCCAAATTTCTGCATGGCTGAGAGGGCATTCCAGTGACTAGTCATATTAATCACAGCAGTAGCATAGCACAGGAGGTCAGCTGCATCAGTGTGACCTACTGCCAGGTTCAAGGGCTGCTCTTACCAATCACTCATGTACACACCAAGCCAGGAGGAATCTATCTGCAGCCCCTTGTTGGGATATTGCAGTACTGTGGGAGAGAATTTATCCACAAAATTTCCATTCATGGAGACTGAAAGTGTTGCTTCATTTAGATCAGTTTGACAGGACTACCTTTGTCTGCCTCTATCTGTATTACTGAACTGATACAACACTGCATCAGTTAACAGAATGAGAGCTTGTCTGAAGATCTGTCAGGTATTAGAGAAGACAGAGTGAGGAGTGCTGTCTCCATCCCTTCTGACCCTCTTCTCCTGATCTGCTGATGCTGCTATCAGCAGAGATGCAACTGAGGGGAACTGCAGGTCTCCTGCCTAGGTTAGTTTGAGATAAATTATTGAAAGCATTTCAAAGATATTTTGGAGCCTAGCTCCCAGAAAACACTCTCCCCTCCAAAATAAAATCAGTCCAAATACAAGTACCTGAAATACAGTCTTTATGCTGTAAATATACACTAATCAGGAACTTAGGTCAGGAAGGAAGGTAGAAGCAACTGCGTGTCATGGGCCTTAGTCTGCATTTACTGAATTAAATGTCAAATATTTTCTTTGAAGTCAAGGGTAAAACACTCCAGTTCTCACTGATTTTGAAGATGTTATCTGAAGATACCACCTTGTGGCATTTTAAAACAATGAAGCCAAATTCCTGTCAAACAGGCAAAACAATTTTGTGTCATACTTCACCTGTGTAATTTAATGTGAGCAGACTTAAATTTTCTTTCACATATACTCAAATGTGTGAAGCTTTTCACAGCATTATAGTGGTACCTTTGAACTTCCCAGCTTCTCAGCAGTCTTCCCTTCAAATATGCAACTGGATTTTTCTCTTTTACACGACAAGCCTGAGTATAGTTCCTTGCTTCAAATCCTATTCTATTTTAATTAAAAATATCTGTCAACACATGTAACTTTTTAAAAAGAAGTGTCACAAACCGTCTCCTTGCTTCCATTTATCCCAGGATGCATTACTGACCTTGTGAGGCAATGTGGTGTGCCCAAGACATCCTTTTTCTGTATGCAACACTTACTGACTCAATCCCTCTGAGATTTGCCCTTTCATTTCAAAGCTCTCTCCTTGCATCTCTCTCCTTAATGGTTTGTAACTAAAGCAAAAAATATCTTAAATGACCAAATTACCTCTAACAGTAACTAACACTCACATGTTTTTAAAGTGTAATTTTAATAAAGATAGCTGTCCCTTTGGTCATAAGTTATAATTATGGATTTTTAATTACCTCAAACTTTTTGACCTGAAGAGATCTGTACTGAAGTTGTGCTGTCTTGTCTTTGAGGTACAACCTCAGAGCTAAACCTCATTGGGAAGGTGGCCAAGGATGTCTGGAGCTGGTGAAGTCAAGTTGAATAAATGAAGTTTTTAAGACTTAAAGATGAACCTTAGATGTGATATCTTTAGAAATTCTGATCCCAGATGAATCAGATAAAACTCCTGGAATGGAAGTAATGTGGCTTTGCTCATTCAGCTTTGAAAAAGTCAGACACAGGTAACATCAACTTTGGAAGCAATTAATTTAATCCAGCAATTAAAAAATATTCAGGTCATATATCTCAGAGATTAAAAATTCGTGATTTCATGAAGCTTATCTTTAGAAATCTTCACCTTAGTAATGGAAACATTTCTCAAAGCATTTCAAAATCAAACTCATGTGAAACCTAAATTTACCATTTCATATAGAATCTGTTCCTGGGCAGGCTATTTCCCTAGGCTTTTCGAATTCTTTGGTCCGTCACTTTTCCCAATGGATTTCAAGCATAACAACTTTGACACTTTCCTGTTTTCAGCTGCAACTCAACACAAAACTGCAAACTAACTGCTGTCCTGGCTCATAATGCACTCCAAGAAAGGGCAGGTTTCAGTTCACAGCTGATTTACCCTAAAATGTGGCAGCCTTACAGGCACATGACTGGTTGCTTGTGCAACTTTACAGGAGAAAACACAGTAAAACTTGACAACTTATCAAAGATACTTTCTTCCTGCTGCTTTCCACAATGAAGTTTCTTTTTCTTTGAATAAGCAGTCATCCTGCATCAGCTTCTTTCATTGCAGCCCATTCATTGCTCTAAACAGGGACTCAACAGGTCCTGCAGTACACTTGCTAACAACCCCTGGGTTAGCTGCACGCATAGGTGTGAGATAGAAAACTCAGCCTCTTCATTTTAGAGAAGAGGGTAGACTTCAAAACCAGTTTCAGTTTCACAGACCAGCTCTGAGAGCATCTTCTGCGTTCATGTCTAAAGCAAATGTATGTGAGCACTATGATAATGAGAAAAGCTACTTCTTCAATGAAAGCACTGAAGTATCTAATTAAGAGGATTTACATTTATAGCATGGCTCTGGTTCTCTGATATAAACAGGCTGGCTGTGCTCTCTCTTACAAAATGAAGTGTGTGATGTGAGGCCAGATTTCCCTGAGCAGGGCTCCCAGGCACCTGTGCATCCAGCAGCATGCCAGTGCTGTGGCTCAGCCTGCTCTGCCTGCCTGAAGCCATGAGGAGCTGACATACAGAGTATTCCTGGTAGCATCACACTCAGCAGAGGCTTAGTAGACACTGCCATCTGCATTCAGAAACATGTTAGAGGAGCCTGGAAGGAAACGTGGTAGGTGTAGCTTTGTGTCAGAGCATTTGCTCAGGGGTCGTGAGATCCTGGTTTAGGGTCCTGAGCAGAAGGCCAGAGCCAACACTCCAGACATGCTGTCTTTCAGCTTTCCCAGACTTTAGGGGACTTCATCCTCATGACCTCTGAAGTGAGCTCCCAAACAAAAGCTGAACTAAACCTCATAGCATAAAGCATACCTCTTCTGTAACCACTGAAGACAAAAGCGAAACTTTCCAGATTTAGCAGGATGCAAGAAATAGCATAAATTGCTTTTGTCTTTTGTATCTAGAATTCTTCACTCTACCTCAGTCCTAGTCTCCACTCCTCTGTTTCTCTCCTTCTCACTCTATTTTATTTTTATTTTTGCTCCCCCAGGTATAATTTCCGAGGCTTCCGCTGGCTCCAGGCTATGATCTTTGCCATAGAAGAAATAAACAGTAGCCCAACTCTCCTTCCCAACATGACCTTGGGATACAGGATATTTGACACTTGCAATACAGTCTCTAAAGCCCTGGAGGCCACACTGAGTTTTGTGGCTCAGAACAAGATAGACTCATTGAACCTGGATGAATTCTGCAACTGCTCAGAACATATTCCTTCCACCATTGCGGTCGTGGGGGCAACTGGCTCTGGCATCTCTACTGCTGTGGCCAATCTGCTGGGACTCTTTTACATACCTCAGGTACGCTTTCACCTCTCTTATTTAGATTATCAAAGTGGTCTGCTTCTCCACTCTGCAGAGATTAAACAGATTGTTTAATCTTTGCCATTTCCATTAGAACTTTGAGGAGAGACTCAGCGCAAAACAGTGAGGGAAGATGTTCTTATGGTAGAAATATGTCTTGCTGTCAATTTGCAGTCCCCAAGCAAAAAGGTTACCGACCATCCAATAACAATATTCAGCCAACAGTAACTTAGTCTAGGAGGATTACAGTCCTCTAGAATGGTTTACTCTGTGAATACAGGTATTTTAGGTCAGTCATTGACAGTTGCCAGCCCTGACAGGTTAATTGTGTTGTTGCTTCACAGTAATCACTCTCTAGCTGTGTCCAGCTCCCACAGAGCACACATAAGGCAGAGCTCAGTCATTGCCAGTTACTTGTAGGTCTCAGCATCTCTGGTCATTCAAGTAGGTGACCTGTAAAGCTCATCCTGATCAGCTGCTGTGAAGGTTTCTTCTGAGTTGACCTGCCCTAGGGCCTCCAAAACAGGGTTTGTGAAAGCATGTGGATATGGCCCCCCCCTTGTCCTGAGGTCATCTGTGTGGTGATGTAGCTGTGCCAGCTCCTGTGTCACAGCATCATTCTAGCTGCATTCTGACTATGTGGAGCCAGTGCTGGTTTAACAATCTTGTGCTCTGCCAAGACCTTAAGCAAACTACAAAGCTGACATATTATAGCTTAATGTTGCTCTTGATTTTAGATTTCCACACTGAAGACAACTTTGGAAAAAGTACTTGGCCTTATCTGTTTATGTGTTGCCTTGTGTAGCTTACCCTTTCCAATTCCTCTTCTAAAATGAATAGAGGTGCCAAAGCTCACAAGAGTCCTTGTAACAGGATTGTGTCACACTGAACTCTCAGTCTGTCCTGTGAAATACAGCTTCATTTCAGCCAGGGCTCCAATTCCCATCTTCACCACAAATGAAGAAGGAAGGATTATTGATTGACCAGTGCACAGTAATACATCTTGCCTATTTAAGGTTATCAGTCTGACTCCCATGTAGGAGTCTGAAAAACTGGACATGTGGTCTCTGAGCAGGGCAAGAATGGTTTAAGCTAAGACCAATATGTGCTATCAAGGTATTGTCCAGAGTAGCATTAGAAGTTGGCACATAATAAACACCATGATGACATTTTAAGGGGTAATGTTGATTTACACATCACATTACCAGGTGAACAAGGGCAGCTGAGAAGTGTTGGTGTGTTTGACTGAACATATGAGATGTTTGCAGTTCTCAGACTTTCCCTTTGAACAGGGAATGGTGTTAGTGCTATGATGCAGTAGCCTTATCTAGAGGCTGCAGAAATGGGTAGATGTCAGGAGGTTCAGTTCTGGAACGAAATCTCAGCCAGGTGGTTGAAGTATGACAACTAAAAGCAGGCTTTTAAACTGGGAGGTTTGGGGGCAGAATTATCATTGCCATTTATAGCAAGGCCATTAGCAAATCCATGCTTATTAGGCCCTGCATTTCAGTACAAGGTGAGGTATATTTTACAATTAATGTAAGGCTCATTACTCATTCTGTTAACATAAACACTGAAAATGTTATGACTTCTGTTCTGTTTCTCAGTATCTCACCTCAGTGTACCCTTACAACACGTGAGAGCGGGATACCTTGCCTGTACCTCCTGGCAACAGGCTGTAGGAGGTGAGATTAGCACTGGGCAGGAGCCTGTCCAGGGGAGAGTATAGCTGTGTGAAAGGAGGATTTGTTCCTGTGGCCCTTGAAACTGTACTAGGAGATGTCCTTTTCTTTCTTCTTGCAGAAAAATTAAATACTAGAGTTTAAAGAGGAGATATGGTTTTCTGCAAATTTTCACTCTCTAGAAAATGAACTGTTTGTAGAACATTTTTTTAAATGAGAGTCAGACCTAAAGAATTCAGATACCAATCTCAAAATGCAAAATTAAGTGAGTTTTAGAAGTTCTCCAAATCTTTAAGCTATTATTATCTGGGGTTTATGGTTTTCTTCCTACTTGTAGAAAATTCAAATTGTATCTTAAGAGCATATGCCACTTGTTCTGATTAGGAAAATAAAATATTTCTTGATAGCTTTAGAAAAGGAAATAAAATCCAATTTTAACCATAAAACACAGTGGCTCATGAAGCATGGAATGCCTACTGGGTTCTTTGCTGATTCTGGCCAGCAATCAGGAAATACTACTAAAGTAGCATTACCATAACACTCTGCAGGATCAAGGGAACTGATAGACATTACATTCTTCTGACATTAACTGTCAGCGATTGTATATGAAATGCACATGTTTCTTGCTGGAGCCTGTTTAAGGATGGGGACAGATGTCCCATGCCTAGTTCAGGACAGAGAAAACCTGCATTTTGTCTTAATTATGTGCATTGCCCTCATTTATCTAAAAGATACATACTTTTTATTTCTGGATTTGACAGGAAGTACAGCAAAACAGGCCACCTGTTGGCTCACCTCTTTGCCACTCCTCCAAGCTAGTGTCAGTGTCTCTCTCCCTCTGATCCTTGACCTTGCAGGTGGACACAAGCTTGATGCATCCTCTTGGGTCCGAGCAGCTGCTCCTGTATGTGTGCCTCTGTAAGACAGGCACCACTGCAAAGAACATACAGGCTGTCAGTGTGGATCACATACAACCACAGGATAAGAATATGTGACTACCAGTGTGGTGCTCAGCTCTCTTCACCCTATCCGAGGTTACACAGGTTGACAGCGATGCTAGGTAAATGTGGGGAATTAATTTCTAGACACTTCACTTTATGATGTGTTTTGCTTGTTTACTGTGCTCTCACAGGTCAGCTATGCCTCATCCAGTCGTCTCTTGAGCAATAAGAACCAGTTCAAGTCCTTCCTCCGCACGATCCCCAATGACGAGCATCAGGCCACAGCGATGGCAGACATCATTGAGTATTTTCGCTGGAACTGGGTGGGAACAATTGCAGCTGATGATGACTATGGCCGTCCAGGGATTGAAAAGTTTCGGGAAGAGGCAGAGGAGAGAGATATCTGCATTGATTTTAGTGAACTCATCTCCCAGTACTCAGATGAAGAGGAGATCCAGCAGGTGGTAGAGGTCATCCAGAACTCCACAGCAAGGGTGATTGTTGTTTTCTCCAGTGGCCCTGACCTGGAGCCTCTCATCAAAGAAATTGTCAGGCGAAACATCACTGGCAAGATCTGGCTGGCAAGTGAGGCCTGGGCTAGCTCTTCCCTAATAGCCATGCCAGAGTTCTTCCGTGTCATCGGCAGCACCATTGGCTTTGCACTGAAGGCAGGACAGATCCCAGGCTTTCGTGAGTTCCTGCAAAAGGTGCATCCCAAGAAGTCCAACAACAACGGCTTTGCCAAGGAGTTTTGGGAGGAGACATTTAACTGCTATCTCCCTGATGGGTTCAAAAATTCTCCAGCCTCAACTTCCTTCCACAAGGGCCATGAAGAGGGACTGGGAGCTGGGAATGGAACATCTGCTTTCCGACCTCCATGCACAGGGAATGAGAACATCACTAGTGTGGAGACGCCGTACATGGACTATACGCACTTGCGAATATCCTATAATGTGTATTTGGCAGTATATTCTATTGCCCATGCCTTGCAGGATATATATACCTGTACCCCTGGGAAAGGACTCTTCACTAATGGGTCCTGTGCAGACATTAAGAAGGTTGAGGCATGGCAGGTAAGTCTTTCATTTGTGTGCCTGTGCAATATACCTGCAGAAAAAAGGACAAGCTGTCCCAGACACCTTTTAGGGTGCATTTGGTAATCCTGGACCTCAGACACAGAGTGAGGCTCTTGGGACATAGTCTGTCACTGTGGGTGAGTTAGGTGCATGCTCGCACCCCACAGGGAATGTAAGTTGTGTTAGGTTTGCCTGCAGTGAAAGGGGCTTAAACAAAGTTAAATTTTCTTGCATTCGCTACGGGCCAAAAGTGCTCACACAGACAATTACCACAGCCTGGCTGACGCAAGGTAACTTGATCATATATTGAGCCTTACATAAACAAGAGGGCCTGGACAGACCACATAAACAAGGAAAACAGTTTTTAGAGTTCATTTTCTTTGGCAAGCTCTACATCTTTTGCAATCCCACAGCAATTTTCCATACAGGCTGTATTTTTTCCCCACAGTTTTAAGCTTATATAGGATCAAACTCAAGCAGATTGAGTAATGAAGGAAAATAATGTGGGGCTGTTGGGCAGAAAGTAAATAGCTGCTTTGATTTGGCAGTGATTTTTGTGAACTGATAAAATTATACTAATGATTTAGTCACATTTACCCATTCATTCAATGCATTCTGCCCACTGGCACATGGATGGTATTCTGGCATTTTGTCTTCTGCTCCTTTATGAATACTGTATACCTTACCATATGTTTGATCATGCTAATCAATGTGCTATTCAGTATGTGGTTTTAATATCTATGGCATTCTTAGGTAACACAATTAGCATGAGCTATCAAATGAAGATATGTCAAATATGTAGCAAATTCTGTTTGTCCTGTGCTGGTCGTCACAAAAAACTTGGGCCCAAACATACCTGAAATCAGAACAACACAGGTTAATGTAAGGAGGGTCACATCCCCATTTGCATGAGTAATTTCCTCTCTTTGGGATAGTCTAACCAAAACAAAGGCTCTCCTTGCCACAAACTGCAGATGTTGGGTCAGTGTTCACATGTGGGAACTGCAGTTTCATTCCTGTCTAATGTCAGTCAACTCAAAAACATCAGTCAGATCAAAGTAAAAGGCTTTGTCTTGGCTTTTATGGGACGGCTGCATTGCACTAGGTACCTGATTTGGGTTAGCAAGACCACTTGACTCACAGTTGATGAGTGCAGGGTTTGACCCTGGTTTAGAGGAATCCTGCAATTGCTGCTCTCCCTCTCTGAGGTGTCTTTCAAAGCTGTTTCACTTTTCAGGGAATACTGGAAGAAGTGGGCAAGTCACAGACAGATCTGGCTTTCGTTGTGTAGGCAAAAATGATCCAGGATAAACGTATTTTTAATTCATTCCCTTATGCCTTTTCAACCTGGAAAGTAAAGCTGGATAATCATGCCATAGCTAAGTGAAAAAATGTTTTGTTTCTTGAAGATTCCACAATCATGAAGAGTGACCTCTCATTTCTGTGTTGCTTGTCTGGTGCTGAAGAATATATGCATCAAAATGTGAAACATCCTACTGACCTAGGCTTTTGGGTATGCGTATGTGCCTAAAAGGAGGGAATCAGCATCAAAAAAGAGTATGTGAGGAATAACACGCCTGGGCAGGAACAGGGAATGCTACAATGGAACAGTCTATACTTGAAATGACCATCATTATATAGTGTTGGCTTTCAAGCTTATTTGATATTTGTGCATTTTTTTCACTTCATTTCAAAGCCAAACACATAAATAGCAGTTAAATGCCAAATCTGTGTGCACACCTACTTCATATCACACATTGTGCCTCATTACCCTTCGGAAGCTTTCCTCAGCCCTGGGGGTAATGAGTTACCTCACAAATGTGCATCCTCCAGCATCTCCAGAGAGGGGTTTTCTGACAACCAGACAGAAGAAAATTTTTCTGGTAAAGTCAGCCTGATTTTCAGTGGGACTTCTGCTGATGGTCACTGCCCACTCCCTTTCTCACAACCAGCTCAAGTTTTTCTTGATAGGAAGTGACCTGAGAGAGCAAGGGCAGTGTTAGGAAGTCTCCACATCTGTGGCTGGAGGCAGCAGCTGCTAATAGTGTCTGCAATTACTGGCCAGGTGGTGTGTGGGACAGATAAGGCAAACCTGGTGAACTCCTGGCTCCACTAACCTGAGCTCCTGTCCAGAGCAGCCCTTGCCAGTGGGGTCGGTGTCAGGGAGGATAAATGGTGCATTCCACAATTTAAGTATGTACCATTTCATTTTGTTGCTTTTCAGTGGTGTTATCCTATTAACACGCATGAGTTTTTATTTATTCTATGTCTGCTAATTGCTAATTTCATGCATTTGTAATGCAAACCTTTTGGAGGACTCATTCTGTGTAATTTGTGGAGGGTGTTTTTGTGGGTCTTTGTATAAAAATAGCATTTTTACCTCATTTGAACTGGACAGCAGGAAGCCTAGCAGAGAATTACTGTGAGCTGATTAAATTGAGTGCAGTTCTCATATCAAGAATATATCATCTACGATTTAAGAAGGCTCCAAGTACAGTTCAGCATGGGGAACACAGGGTTTTTCTGTGTCTCCTGAACTGAAATATAAAATACTAACAACTTTCAGCTCTGCTTATTTATAGCTACTTGTTTAAGAAGCTGCTTACACATTTTCTCCACCTCAGTTGGTGATCTGTGACAGACCCTGTCTGTAAACCCAGTCTTGCTTCCTTTTGTTTTACCAGTGCCTCTGAAGCTGTCTGTGAGCAGCCCCACTAGAGATGAGACTGGCCAGCCCGAGCTCTCAGGCTGCCCCAGCACATGCAGAGATGTGGGCGCAGGCAGAGCTGGCAAGCAGGCAGGGCAGGTTCCAGGCTGTGCCTGGAAGAAGCTGTGCTACTCACTTCACATGCAGAGCTGTCCCTGGAGTTCAGAGTCCTTTATCTGAAAATGGGGAAGCTGTTGCTTAGCCACTCTACAGAAAATTACAGATTTTAATAGAATGTCTGTGCTGCCCTTATCCTAAGCAATCTGAGCTGTCATGTTTTAAGAACCTACCCTGCTCCAAGACAGAAGATAATCCAGGTACACACCTTTCCAAGATGCCTGCAAAGAGCAGATAGTATTCTCTGCATGTACCATTGTTGTGTCCTGCACAATATTGATCAAGATCAGATCAATTACTTCTTTTTGTTCTGGCAACAAAAAGGTGTGGGGCGATCCAGAAGAAAATGTGCCAATAATTTCTGCCACTTTTGGACAAGGCAAAATTTTACAAAAGGCACTGAAGTGCATGACTGCAAATGGTGCAACAGAAAGAATCCTCTTAAAGATCTCTGATATCTCTGGCTGTCAAATGCCCAACCTCTTCTGCTGGTGGGTTGTGACTTTTTAGGAGACTGTATTGAGTAGAGCTAGTTCTGTGCGTTGCTCTGGTTCATGGTTTTGCCTCCTGCAAACACAGGGTCTCCCATAGCAGTGAGAAGGTGTGGCAAGAAGTGGGACATGGGCTCAGAACTGCTGCCTCTTTGCCAAAATTCCCTGCATCTTTGGCCTGTTTCTCCATAACAGCTCGAACAATCTGTTTTTGAAATCTCTTTTTTTCTTAATATCTTCCCTGGTAAGATTTCCCAAGTCCCTCAGGTTCCTTCATTTTCTTGGTCTCTGCTCCTGTGGCTATTTCCATGGCCACTTCTAACAGCAAGTCCATCTGTTGTCTTTTCAGTTCCCCTCTGAGCACTTACAGAAGCCTCTCTGGTGTCTCATCATCACTTCAAGCACTGTGTGGACCTGCAAAAAAATAAGGAGAAAACTAGTAGGGAATTTACTACTTCATATTATTTAGGTGTGAAAAGAGGATAGACCTGTCTTTTCTTCAGATATAGTTCACTCAGCTTCTGCCAGTTCATTTGGATTCTTGATGATTGCCAATGAGCAGCTGATGAGCCTCTCTTTCTGTCTTGCAGTAAAAGCATTATGGTTAAATGAGGAAGAGAGGCTCCCAGGGATTTCAGGAGGCAAAAGTGTGCAGTCATAGGGTCATGGAGCAGAGCATCCTTAGGTTGACTCGCAGACAGTTTGCAGGTTGTGGTTACACTGTAGGCTGTGATTCTGTGATGAGTGAAAAATGAGCTAGCTCTTCTAGGCACCAAGGGAAAGCATACTGCACAGGCTGAAAAATGTGTTGTGCTAATGATTCACAGGTTAAAGATGTGCTCATGTAAATTGTACTATGCCTAGAAATCTGATTGACCTCAAACTTAATGAAAAGCTGCCATATGCTGTTCCACAAAATAAAACCAAATAGAAATTGGCTTCACCTAGCAACACCTAAAGTTTTTTATTACACACCTGCACCTCCCAGACAACAGTTCCTTCCTCTGTGCTGGTGATACACATTATGAAGAGGTAGAAATGGATTGGTGCCTTCTCCAACTCCACATTTAGGTATGTCTGACTGGCTGGAAATTGATTCTGCAAGGCTTTAAAGAAGCGAATGATGCCTTAGATAACATACGTCTCTCCAGACCTTTGAGCCTAATGGCTTATCTAATCAATTTTTGGCCTGTCAGAACAGTTCAAAAACAGCTGCTTTGTGGTATAGAGAATGAAACAGTATCAGAACAGCTATTAACCATGGCTGGTGTGAAAATTATTTATTTGGCATGAACTGCGAGGAAGACAGAAGAAGCTGATTAATATCAGACAACTGCATTACAAATGGACTGGAGATATATTTGTTAAGAACAGAAAGCAAGCATTACACCAGTCTGCCTTTGTTGTGGAACACCAAATTGAGAGGCAGACAACCTCAGCCACACACAGAAACACGTGGGTCAATAAAGCAAACACAGCTATTTCCCCACAAGGGCAATAACAGATGATTGGTTATTCATCAATTTGGAGATAGCAACTAGCCATCAGCTGAGGACATCACTTGTGAGATCTCCAACTAAGCAGATAGTAAATGGAGTATTATTTAGATGTTTCTGCAACTTAAAAGGAGAAAGACTTAACTGGACCTTACTAAAGGAGGGGTCAGAATGTCACCAGTAGAA